AAAAAAAGAACAAAATGGGCACAAAAAGATCCACAATGACACACAAAGCAGCCAAAATAAAACAAAAACATCTTAGAAAAGATTAAAATTAGCACTTTAAGAAACAAAGAAAGAAAGCGAAATAAAAAAGAAAAGAAAATAAATTGGGCCAAAAACAACTTTAAACAGATGCAAAATGACTAAAATTGGACTCAAAATGACAAAAAAAATTATCAAAACATGTAGGAAAAGACACAAAACTAACAGTTTAATGAACCAAAATGACCAAAAACAGAAAGAACGGGTGGAAAGAGACGAAAAGATGTGACAGAAAACGACCAAACTGGTTAAAAACAACCACAAAGAGACACAAAATGACTAAAATCAGACACTAAATGTCCCAAATGTGACAAAAAACAGCCAAAATGGACGAAAAACTTGGTCAATTTATGAACAAAATTAAAAACATAAGAGACAAAATGACCAAAAACAGAAAGAATGTTCATAAAAAGATGCAAAACAACAAAACACGTGATGCAAAATGACCAAACTGGTTAAAAACAACCACGAAGAGACACAAAATTAGCAAAATGAGGTATGAAATGACACAAAACAACCAAAAAATAACAAAAACATCTCAGAAAAGATGCAAAACGAACACCTTAATAAAACAAAATGGCCAAAAACAGAAAGAATGGTCATAAAAAGATGCAAAACAATAAAGATGTGATGCAAAATAACCAAATGAGGGCAACAAACAACCACAAAGAGACACAAAATGAACAAAATGGGCACAAAATGAACCATAAAGAGACAAAACGCCAACAAAGACACAAGAAACAACTAAAATCTGACACGAAATGTGACATAAAACAGCCAAATGAACCAAAAACAAGCATAAATGTGAAAAATTAACAATACAAGACGCAGAATGACTAAAATCAGACACCAGACGACCAGAAACAGGCCCGGTGAGTTCATCAGCGCCGGTTCTGGTGTCGCTAACGGCTTCGAGGTGAAGCTGCAGGTCGTGTTTTCCTGGTTGAACCGATGAACTGCGTGAAGCTCCCGGGAGCAGCTCAGTGTTTTTATTCAGCAGCCGACCAGAGACATCCTGGATCACAGCAACAATCAGATCTGGAGCTGCAGAACAACCACTTAGACCGGACCGGACCGCCCCAGGATGTCTCCCTGGGTCTGTTGGTGACTCCTCATCACTTCATTTACACACCACCAGTCCGGCCGGTACCGACACTTTGACCTCCACCAGCAGAAAGCTTCTTCCTGGATCAGTTCATTCATGGCAGCCGGACCGGACCACCTGTGGACTCCCCCCAGTTTATACAACTTTGGACCGGTCCGACCTGAAGCCGGCTGTCGGGTTTAGTTTAATGTTTAACGGGGAGTCGACTCCAAACTGAACTAAACGCAGCAACAAAGACGATTTCTTCACC